CTTAGCCTTTGGGGTGCAGAGGCAGCTGTGACAGTGGTGCAGTGAGTCTAAGGATGGTGGGCAGCCTTGGATGACGTAAGGATGGTTAGAGAAGGCTAAAAACTCGCCGTGCTGGGAAGGACCCTGTGGAGGCCATCAGTATAAGTATTGGCCAGGGCCAGCCAGCCTGTCCAAGAGTAGAGAAGGCTGGTGTGATGGTTGATCTAGATAAGCAATCTGCACACAGTTTCTGCAAAATCCTCTCATTAAGTAAGAACCCCAATAAAAGCGCCCCCTCCTTGTTCAAATATTCCTCTAGGTTCAGTATTCTTTGAAGCTTCTTCTTCAGCCTCCCCTTCCCTCCTATTTCCTACTTTCTGCAATTTTCACATTGAAAGAGATGAGTAATAATAGTGCAAAAATACTTGACGGTGGCTTAGAGAAAATTTTTAAATTAAAGGGTGGGAGAAGCAAGACATAGAATGAGTCAAAGAAATCCAAAGGAGGGTTAAATTATCTCCTGCCAGTAAAGACAATATTCCTTGATTTTTTCTAAAGGACAGTAAAAAAAAAAAAAAGAAAGCCCCAAAATTTTTCCAAATAGTGATTATTTTTCTTAATGAAATGTTAATTATTCAGCTTTTTTTTTTAAGGTTTATTTATGTATGCATACAGAACTCGGTACAGGCCAGAGGTACAGGGGCTTCACCAGAGACAGAGCGGGGAGCAGAACAGGCGGATCAACAAAGTACACTGCTGAGGGGAGCAGCGGGCGGGTCAGGAGAGGTCTGCCGCGCCATGTGGGTCACCTCTGGGGCCAGGGATCGAACTCACACTGAAGCAGCTGTGGTGAGCTTGCAGTGCTGCCTCCGAACCCACTGCACCACCGGAGAGGGCCAAATAGTGATTATTTTTTTAATCCAAGGGTCAGAGAAATAGAACCTTGTGGATCATCTGCCTCCTGGTCACAATATGCAAGACAGCTAAGAACATCTCAAAGTGGGTGGCCAAGAAAGAGACTAGTCAAATGAGAGCACTCTGTGTAAGATAACCATAATACCACACACTGTGTCTTTCTTACTTTACAAAACACTTTCACATATGTTATCTAAAGACAGGCCCTCTCTGGTGGTGCGAACTAGGGAAGCACAGCCCTATAAAGCTGTCCACAGCCACTGCAGCACACGTTCTATCCCGGCCAGGGAGCTGACCCACATGGCGCAGCAGGCCTCTCCTGACCCACCTGCTGCTCCCCTCAGCAGTGTATTTTAATGGATCTGACTCTCCTCACCTCCCACCCCCACACTTCTGGCTTGCACCCTAGTTCCTGTATGCATAAATAAATAAATCTTGAAAAAAAATAAAACTATTATCTAGAGATTCAAGCAGAAGTGTGAGTAGGCATAACAATTATGAAAAATCTCATTTTATGGAGGAGAGAGTGTAAATTCACAGACTTTAACAACCTGCTTGGGTCCCAGCTCAACACGGATGAAGGTGAGGCCAGAAACTTAGAGCTGTGCAGGTTTTGATTGTGCTCAGCACCTGAGGTGTATGCCATAATAGAAGAGGTATATGTGTGGGTAAGAAGGCTGAAGCTAATAATTAAATGCCAATATGTATCTTTTCCCCAAAAGGCTTATCAATAAAATGTAAATATTTAATTTTCTATTACAGTACTGTTACAAAGTGAGAGAAGGGCATTATAAGATATTACAGAGCTGATGAAAGAGATAGAAGGAAACTTAACAGCACAGAAGTTTCTTAGTTTGACCTTAAGTTAGTTATTCTTAGATTGGAAATGGGAGAAATTAGTCAGGTAATACACAGATCTTTTTAAAAAGCCTAAAAACATCTGGATCATTATGTGCTATTCTGAAACAACTGAATAGGAAAAGAAGGACAAAACAATGTTATAGAAATCAGGAGCTAAAACTTGTGAGAAAGTGGTCTAAATTTATATATTCTAAAAACATGACTCAAAGAGACATAATCACAGCCTATAAATATCCTCTGAGCAACAATATGTGGTAAATAAAGTAAGTGAGTTATTCCCTACGTTAGGTTCAGGTCATTTCTCTTTGTGCAGCTGTCTAAGGAAGATAATGCCCTCTACCTGAGCCAGCGTCCTCACACAATTAAAATAGCCGAGGAGGGAGACTCTTAGAGTTGGTATTGCTGGAGATACTGTGAAGGTGGGGTGAAGGCCCACAGGGATGGGCCCAATGTGGCTTTCCACATCGCTAGGAATGGCACTCGAGAGTCACATGAGTCACATCATTCAACAGAATCAGGGCCCTCCCTGATTAAGGGATTAAGCACGGCACTATGAAACTAGCTGCAGCCAATGCAGCTTGCGTGTGATCCCCGGCCAGGGAGCTGACCCACATGGCGCAGCAGGCCTCTCCTGTCCCTCCCGCTGCTCCCCTCAGCAGTGTATTTCAGTGGATCTTCCTGTTCTGCTGCCCACTCTGTCTCTGGTGAATGTTCTCACCCCACACAACAGAGGCCTGTACTCTAGTTCTTATATGCATAAATAAATTCATCTTAAAAAAAAAAAAAAAACACAAACCCAGAACCGAGTCCAAAACCACTTTTGGTTACTGGCCCACTGATTGAAAGAAGAACCAAACATAAACTATCAAGACTGAAAGGGCCTCCCTGGTGGTACAACACGTTAAAGCAGAGCACTATGAAGCTCCCCACAGCCACTGCAGCATGAGTCCGATCCCCAGCTGGGGAGCTGACCCACATGGCGCGGCAGACCTCCCCGACCTGCTCACTGCTCCCCTCAGCATTGTATTTCAGTGGAACTGCCTGTTCTGCTCCCCACTCTGTCTCTGGTGAATCCTCTCACCCTCCCCCACCTGTGGCCTGTACCCCAGTTCTTGTATGATAAGTAAATAAATCTTTTTTTTAAAAAAAAAATAGTATAACAGAAGCACCCTGCTTTGATGGCAGGAGATGGTGTGGCCCTGAATTTCATGTTTGCAAAGTCAAAGACCATGGATCAGGGCTCCTGGAGTCCTCCCACACCCTGCTGTGCCAGTTTCCTCATGGCTGCAAGGTGAGCATATTTGTTTCACTTTGTAAATCACATTTTAATAGCCAAACATTTTTTAAAACACTGGGAACCGAGCACACACAATCATCATCATCATCATGATGACTCTTGCTACGCTTCAAAAACGCCATTTTCCACAAATATTTCTTCCAGGTCATAGTTTCCTCCCTTTTAAAATTTTCTAGATTTTCTAAGTCTTCTGATCTCCTGAAGCTACAAGTTATTTCAAAAGATCTTTTTGGTCCCCACTCTTGGGAGGCCTCTATAGTTTGAATTGTAGCCGAGCTGACCTGAGAAGACAAGCCCCTGCTGGGTGTCCACAGCTCTCCCAGGGTACTTTTTAAAGCATCAGGACCTCTCTAAACACAGTATGCTCGATTTGTCCACAGGTCAATCTAAATCCAAGCAGCTGTTTTCTATGCTTATCCAGGGAGGGTTGTTCTAGCCTCAAAGAGAAACTGCCCGCAGTTGGTTTAACTTATCTTCACTTCTTTCTTTCTTTTTTAAGATTTATTTATTTATGCATACAGAACTAGGATACAGGCCAGAGATGTGGAGGGTGAGAGGTTTCACCAGGGACAGAGTGGGGAGCAGAACAGGGTGACCATCTACGAAATACACTGCTAAGAGGAGCAGCAACGAGACAGGAGAGGTCTGCCGCGCCACGTGCTCACCTCCAGGGCACGCACTGAAGCTGCTGCTAGCTTCACAGTGCCACGTTTTAACCCCCTGCGCCACCAGGGAGTGCCCTAAGGCCCTCTTCATTTCTTAGGCAAGGAGAAGGGGTTGGGTCACCTGACAAGGTACTTAGCCCTGACATGTGCAACTGCTCCTTGTTAGACACCCTCACAAACAGCTGGAGCGGTGGCATTTGGTTTCTACCACTCTCTCCTGCCCTGCGTGGGTGGCAAGCCAGTGCAAAGGGTTTGGGCATTCACTGAAGGCTGCTTGCCATAACTCCCAGCCACCAACAACGTGAACAGCTCCTAGATTTGGACAGTGAGTGTCTAAAGAGTGAGCCAGCTTGCAAAGACAAGCATTTTCCAGGGCAATCTCTGGGGCTTATTTTCAAGCCCGTAGCAATGACAGGGTTTTTCCAGTGGACTTCATTCTAGAGGGTAACCAGGCGCACTTCAGTGGAAACTGGGTTTTATCATCACATCGCCCCCAAGGAAATACAGAACAACTTTGCAGACTTTGCGTAAATGCCTGTACAATGAAGGTAGACAGTCCTAGCATGATCTCATTTGTACACAAATATTTGGGTATGCAATGTGTGTGCACACATACTCACACAATGGTAATGTATGTGGATTTTCCCCACTGCAAGGTTTACGAGAAACACAGTCAGGATTCAATGCTGCCTGTGGTAACATCCTACAAGGAGAAATTAACAGATCTTTGACCTCTATTGAATGCTTTCCTGAGTTGGTGGAATTTACCAGACCTGCAGTATTAACATAGAATTATGGAAACTGGAAACAAAAAGTTGGAATCTACTGGAAATGATAGACTCAAAATGAACTCAACTGGAAAATTTGGCTAACTTAAAGTGACAATCTTTGTGCTGGAATTTCTCTATCTGAAAGCTTTAAAAAGGCTGCAATTATTTTGAGTTCTCAATTCAGTCCTATTCAAGCTCAGCCTTTTATTTTCTTTTCTTCATTGCTCTGTACCTTTCCTCCATGGCAACTCAGGCATTTGCCAAGCACTGAAGTGGTGAATTCAGATTGATTTTTATACACGTATCCATTTCTAAAGGATGGTAAACAACACAACTTTTGCATCCTCTGTGCCAAGAGAAACAAAGGAATATTTGTATATCCAAACTTTGATCATGTGCATAGGCTTTAAATATCAAACACAGCTAAATAAATAACCTAATAAGAAATGGTCGATTAAAGGCAATGAATAATTTTTTGCAAGTTAGTGCTTTTTCGCAAGGACTAAGACTTACCTTGTGGCTTTTGGGTCCCAAATCACAATGTCAGCATCTGATCCCACAGCTATTCTTCCTTTTCTTGGATAGAGATTAAAGATTTTCGCTGCATTTGTGCTGGTGACTGCCACAAATCGGTTTTCATCCATTTTACCACTGTGCTGTAAAACAATTCAAGAAAGAAAATGCATTTGTTCTAATGATCAAATCTTTTTAAAAAATCTTTCAATAAAAGTACAAGACCATATCTCTTAGAACCAAACAGAACTGTACATAGTTTTTATATTGGACACATCTGTGCGCACTGATAAGTCTTAAACAATCTTAATGATAATGATGGGGATGAGTGAGTAACATATGGAAGCTTGAAGATAAATTCTCCAAACCGTATAAGCTTAAAAAAGCACCTCCACTAATTTTTTGCAGTCTTCCCAGAAACACAGCTAAATGTTCAAATCTTGTTTATAGGTTACTGTCTTCTCTTACTACATATATATGATCTGGCTTATTTATTACAGACCCAAGATTGATAAAATGATCATGTAGACATTATGTACAATATGATAGAGTTGAGATAAGATGGATTAAGTCAATTGATAGTGTTTTTTTAAAAATGGAAAAATTAGTGTAAGAGACTTAATTTTGTATAATTGAAACTTTATTGCACCAACAGTCATGGACAGTCTATTGCAAAACATTTTAATATGGACAGACTTTGGAGGGGTGTGGGTCCTCTAAAATGACTTTAATTTTTTTTTTATTCTTTTCATGTGGTAAAGTTATTCTCAAAGTTTTTTAATTTGTACCTGCATCAAACAATGGTTAAACAATATGTCCTGAAAGTACTATTTCCTTTAGGAGCCCTTCCTATTATTTCAGAAGTTAGTATGGTTTTCTGTATGCTACTGATATATAGTTCATCATTTTATTTTTATTAAAAACTTAAAAGATTTATTTACTTATGCATACATACAGAACAGGGGTACAGACCAGAGGTGCAGGAGCGAGAGAATTCACTAGAGACAGAGCGGAGAGCAGAACAGGCAGATCAACGAAGTACACTGCAGAGGGGAGCACCAGGTGGGTCAGGAGAGGTCTGCCACGCCATGTGGATCTCCTCCAGGGCCAGGAATCGAACTCGAACTAAAGTGGCTGCGGCCAGCTTGCAGTGCTGTGCCTTAACCTGCTGTGCCACTAGAGAGGGCCAGTTCATCATTTTAAAAGTCATTTATATACTTGGAAATGATATTAGATTCTGAAAATCTGCTGTAATGAAAACATTCATTATAAATAATAACATAAGATCAAAGAGAAGTTTTGCTATCAAAAAAGTCTAAGCAAAGAACAAGAGACGCCATCTGGGATGGTTAGAGTTGAGAGAGGGCAGACAGTGTGAAGAAGCTGGTTAACAGAGATGGCTAAACAGATGCTTGGAAGGTTCTTAGATGTAAGTTGTTTAACTATCATCTTACAAGTGATGGGAGAAAAGTAAAGGGCTTTAGGGAGGCAGGAACCATGTGCAGACTATCATTTTGAAAGGTGACTCAGGTGCTGGCGTATGGAGTTCAGCAGGTGAGATGGGGACAAGCACACCGGGAACCCTGAGGTGACTGCCGTGGTGTCAATGGTGGTGTATTTCCAGGGCCTACGCTAGTAAAAACAACCCAATAGCACCTCTGCAATCGGCTCCAGCCAGGGGGGAGATGTGAAGATGGAGGTCAGGACACATTTTGGAAATAACACTGACAAGGCCTGTTCAATCATTAGAAGTCAATGGGATATTCAGAGGAGACTAACATGAGAAATATGCTGAAGGTGTCATCCCAGGAGGGTTACTGGAGGCGGGGAGGAAGGGCGTGACTACTGATCCTCAGGTCATCACGTGTCCCCCCCTGAGCTTCACAACTCCACACGTCAACCAACCAGACAGGCTAACATATAGATCCCTCTGATTCTTCCTGACTTCAGGGAGAAAGTTTTCAATCACTAAAATGTTTTGAAATTCTTTTTCCAGACTTTGCATGCTTATTTATGTGAACCGCAGCCATTTTTGAAACATGATATCCCAGGTTCTTAAAAAGGAATCATCTAAAGATTTCATGAAAATGAAATGTGAACATAATAAAAATCTTCCATGCATTTTCAATCACTCCTGGTATTTATACTCGCGCTGTGTGAAGAACTGGGATTCACCAGCATAAGAAATATAAGCGTGACAGCACTTCAAAGACTTCAAGAATAATCCTGTTGGCATCCAGTCTGAAGTCATTTCTTACTGTCTGCAAAATGATGTAAAGCATTTTACCTTTAAGCTAACTTGTGCAGAGGAAATAATGATCTCACATTATTATTCTGGAAGATGGTGTGATGGTGTCGATGGTGGTGTATTTCCAGGGCCTATGCTAGTAAAAACAACCCAATAGCACCTCTACAAAGGGTGTGGTGGGCACGCTGGCCCGAATGGGCCAGATTCTGTGGACTAGGCAAAGCCGACTGGACCCTGAGAAACTTACCACGCCCTTCTCCCATATCACTGACATCCGGTCCTCGACACCATTCACTCCATTGGGGATCTTAGTAAAGTCATCCTTTCCCAGCGCTTTCTGGCAAGTGTTGAAAGTGCAGTGATCAGTCCCTGTAGTACTTAGATCATCACTGTAAAAGAAAAACAGGCGTGGTGGGATGAACAGACAATGCCAGGAGAACATACCATCACCTCCCTCGTCTCCTGACTCTCCCAAGTGACACCCAGAAAACTGTAATGGAAAACAAACATAGACTTTTCAGCTACATATTTCACCCCATTCTTGTCTCTGCTAGGGTTAGTGTTTTCAGAAAATGCTCTTACAAGAAGCATGTTGTAGTCAGAAAAACTGGATTCTGGGTTCCCTCGCTTACTGGTTCTGTGTTATGGGTTGGTCTGATGCTCAATTTCTCTTCTAGGCATTGATAATTATCTGCATTTGATGATGACTGTTTCAGAATGACAGGCACTAACTACATGAAGGTCCCCGGAGCAGAACACTGTGCAGAGGTTCCCCTCCAGGGCAGCCCCTGGCTAGTCACAGCATCAAGATAAGCCTGTGTTGTTGCCTGTGGATATCAGTGTCACCAGTGACAGGCAGAATAATTGTGAATATTCTTGGGACTGTGGATGTGGGGAAGAAGAAGGAGCAGAAATGAAAGGCGAGTGAACACATACCCTAAGCAGAAAAGTTCTTTGCTAATGTGGATCTGAGTGTCTGTGAATGGGGAATGTCAGCATGTGCAGGGCTGGTGTAATTCTCAAGAAAAATGACCACCATGTTCTAGACAGTAATGTCTCTGAGAAGATTTTTGATGACTTTCATGGGGATAAACTGCTGGAGGGTACAATTTTGCTTTTCCCACCCCTGTAGTAACTCTGCCTCAACCTGTTTTATCTCCACACAGGCACATCTGGTTCCAGGTTATCCAAGCATCAAAAAGAAATTCAAGAATAGTGTGAATGATAAAATAAAGCATAATGAAGAGACCTAGCTCCTACCTAGAAAAAAGGAAAAAAGAAGAGTGAAGTTTTCAGTAAAAATGATCTGATTTCTCTGTGTCGAGGGGAGGTTTAACCCCATAGCATAACCTCATGAAAGCAGTGCTTCCTGGTTTCCAGATGCATTCTCCCCTGGGCCTTTCAGATCAAGTTGAACAGAATATTGGGAGCTCCTCTACCTAAACCCAAAATGCCTGATTTGAGCAAAACATTTCACAATTATCTGTTAAATGATTACTTAGCCAGTAGATTCATGAGGAAGTCGGGAGTTGAGGGATCCGGGCGCAAGGGAGGACCCATCACATGGTGAGCAGCGTGGTGCCAGTCTCTGCTCCAGTAGTGAGTGCCATCTGTGCCAAGACCTGCTGCTATGGGCTCTCCATACACCACCTTCCCTGGAAAGTTCAAAGGAAGCATTCAGCCCTTCAATTTGTTCTTTTTTTTATGATTGATTTATTTATGTATATACAAGCTGGGGTACAGGTGGGGTGAGAGGACTCACTAGAGACAGAGTGGGGAGCAGAACAGGCAGATCTACTGAAACACACTGCGAGGGGAGCAGCGGAAGAGACAGGAGAGGTCTGCCGTGTCATGTGGGTCACCTCCCTGGCCAGGGATTGAACGTGTGCTGCAGGGGGCTGCTGACAGCTTCTTAGTTCTGAAACTTACCTGCTTGCACCACCAGGGAGGCCTCTCGATTTATTCTTATATGAGAAGCACCTGACAAACATATAAATATGAGTTTTCTCTGTCCTAGCAAAGGCTATTATGAATCCTTTAATGCCACACTCTAATTCATTTTTCATGAACAGGATTTAAAATGAAAACTATTGTTTACTGAGCATGTACTTGGCTCCAGGCAATGTCCACGGCAGGTTAGAGGGAGAGAATTGAGTTTCTAGTGCATCGGTCAGCACATGGCTCACTTTGGCCAGTTAAATGTGAGTGGAAGTGACTTGTTTTGCTTTGAAGAAGTTGTCAAGCCACAGTGAGGTCGGCCACCTCCTTTCCCCCTGTGTCCTGACACCTGAAGAGGCTGCTCTTCCAGTTGTATCTCAGGGTGAAGAGAAAATGGAGCAGAGGTTGAGTCAACTCAAGATGAATGTGACCATGAGTGAGAAAAAATCCTGGTAGTTAATTATCAACCACTGGTATTCTAGATACACTTGTTACCACAGCATATTCTAGCAAAAGCTGCCTAATGTATTTGTCATTCTGATGGAATGTTCTTGAAAACCTACCTGGTAAGTGATACTATTAACACCTTAAAAGATGGGGAGAAAGCGGTGGGATTAAATAACTGTACAAAGATATTAGGGCATGCTCTGCTACCCTAGTAACAAGGATCACAGTCACACGGGGTTCACGTATAGTATACCTCTGTGCAAATAGCTCTTAAATCTTCTCACATACTTAATGAAAATAACAACAACAAAGTCCCTCTCAAAGCTTATATTAAATAAAAAGAGCATTCACATAAGATTATAGTCAGAAATACTGATTTTAAAAGTCATGCAAATGAGCCCATCAAAAGCATACAATGTTAGAAAAGTTGATAGTGCATAGTACATTTGAATTTAAAATCAGAATCTTGTCTCTGATTAGCATTTGTCAGAATAATAGATTCACTGGCACCATCTGATTATACCTAAGCAGTCATAAAGGAGATGCAGGCAGAAGATGCTGGAATACCAAATTAGTTCACTCTGGCTAATCAGATGCCATATTTTAGTTAAAATCCTGATACATAACTGAAATTAAACTATTTCCTCAGAGACCACAGTGAATGGCCTCCAGCTCCCTGAGTCATGCTGAACTGGACTATTCAGTATGACTAATAGCCTAAGAATTTGAAAAACCATGAAAGCAAAGCTTCTTGGAGAAACTTTGCTTCTAAAGTAACCACATCTCAGCGGTGTTGTATTTGCAGGTATGAAGAGAAATTCCTATTCCAAGAAAACTTCTCACAGATGCTTCAACAATGAGAAACTCAGAGACTTGATCCATAATCACTTTATAAGTCTCCAATTTAGGGTTTTCCTTGCTGCTTCATCATAAAGGAAAAATCTTTATCACAAGTTCTACTCAATCACTCAACCCATCAAGGTGATATGGGAATTGAGTCCCAAAAGTTCTACAATTTTAATTGCTCTCAGAAAAAATTAAAAATGTCAGCATGTCCCAGGAGTTTGCCAGGAATGTTTTGAAACCAGATGACAAGTAATTTCCTCGGAAAAGCTTAGCTTCTTTACAATGTGACAGAGCACTGTCTTGGTATACACAACAAGCTCCTCGTGAACTGGGCTGTTTCCACCATCTCCCAATTAAACTTTTGTATATATCAAACACTTAAATGAAGAAGTAAAAGTTCCTAAATTCCCGTCCTCCTTCACAATGGTTTTAAGGCATTTTCATGGCACTGAAAAGCCTGAGAAGTCCCAAGGCAGTAGAAAAAAGGGAGAATCCATCATTTGGATTCCACATAATTGTGCATTTTGTTAGATTTGGGCTAAAATTAAAATAGTAATAAAAATAGCTATCAGGAATAGCTTACATGGTTTGCAAAGCCTATATATCTCAGTTGATCTTCACAGCAGTCCTTATACTGATAAAGAAACCAAAAGGATGAGACTAACTCATTTGCCCAAGACACATGGAGAGTAAATGTTACATCAGAATCACGTTTTTAGATATCATGTTGCATGTACTTTTGTTACTCAGGAAAATGTCATTTTTCATTTCTTGGTAAAGAGCTTATATTTTTAAATGCCTAAGTCAACCACAAGCTATTTGTGGATGTGGCTGAGCAATTTTCCAATTTCACTACCTGGTTTCATTTACTACGGTTAGCAGGTTGGTAATGAAAAGTGCTATATCTGTTCTCGCCTGGTACTCTCCTGATTACATTTGGGAGCAGATGGTTTCAACACCTCTTGGGAGATAGTACATTTTCGTCATCAATCTGCTCCCACTGTCTCAGCAACTTTCACACTGTGTTATATACCCTGTGACCCATACATGTTCTCACTTTCTCTCTCCATCCTTTGGCTCCAAGTCAAAAAGAGAGTCTGTACTTATGATACAATCTCACTCTTAAAGAAGATGTGTCCTCTGAGAGGACTAAACATTTCCAAATGTTTAGAATTCTAAACATTTCCAAAGAATAAAGCCCCTCAACTAATCCAAACTCCCCCTCCTCCCTCCCTGCCCCCAAAGACCAGGTAAATGTTTGAAGGTGATAGCGAAGATGTTAACATTGTGTCTGGACCTGGGAAAGGCACTTAGTCAAGTCATGGAATCTGTTAGAGAAGGTTGTAAGATGCAGAGAAACTGGCAAAGGTGCCCAGATGTGGAATCATTGGCTATACTAAACACAAGTATGAAAAATCATTTCTTCTAGCCAAAAGGACAGAATAGAACCTTCTTGGGTGCTGCATTGATTCAAAATATTACATTTACAAGGGAAGAAAACAACTGATAAAGAAAATATATAGAAGTAGCAAAGAGAGAGTTTATCACAAATTTAAGTTCAAATCCTGGTTTATTTGTTTTCATCTAGGACTTCATGCAAAATTGCTCACTGCTTTTCATTTCAGATTTTTTCATCTAAGAAATGGATCACAATATCCTTCTCCTGTGGCAGCTTTGTGAGGCTCAAATAACTGCATGCATGTGGAATTACGTTGATCTTCCTGGGACCCTGGTGTCACCTCATACTCCATGCAGAATCCTGTCTCTGAACAAACTTCAAATTCAAAAGCTCTAAACCCTAAGGTGTCAGAATTTGATGTATTTGAAGATAAGGTCGTTTGTAGATGTAATTAAATTAAAATGAGGCCATTAAGGTGAGGGCTAATCCAATGTGAGTGAGTTCTTTATAAGGAGAGGAAATGCAAGCAGGGACTTAAGCTAGAGACAGTGGCCTGGCCCACCTTTTCCACTAAGGTCTCTGAGGGAAAAGACCTGCTGACACACAGACTCATGCTTCCAGAATTGTGGAAAATAAATTTCTTTTATCTAGTCGGCAGTATTTTTTTTCACAGAAGCTGTAGCAACTAATATAATTCACAAGTATCAGTTTCCTTATGGCTATATAATTCTATTTTAAAATCTGTTTTTAAAAGGCTAGTTTTCAACTTCTTGCAATTGGTTATAAAATAAATCCTCTTGTTCTAAATTTGAAGGACAAGGAGGCATTCAGATGCTGGTACACACAAAAGTAAAAAGAAAACTTGAGCTTCAGCTCTACCATGACTCAGGCACATATGAATGCTTCTTTAGTAACAGCACTCGTTACTAAGCATCAGCTCATACTTGTGTAAACTTGGTCTACTCTTCTCACATGCTAAAGAAGTTTTCTTGGAAATAAACATATGATTTACCCAAGCAAAAATGTATTCAAAGTTCAGGAGAAGTAAATGAAACTACTTCCTAAAATGTAGAGAACAAAAAATGTTACCACAATATTTATTAACATGATTAAAAACAAAATGCTGGACCCTCTCTGGTGGTGCAGTGGGTTAAAGCACAGCACTAAGAAGCTAAAGCCACTTCAGCATGAGTTTGACCACCCAGGAGGTGACCACATGGCGTGGCAGACCTCTCCTGACTTGCCCACTGCTCCCCTCAGCTTTGTACTTCATCCATCTGCCTGTTCTGCTTCCTACTCCGTCTCTGGTGAAGTCTCTCACCACCCCTGCACCTCTGGCCTGTACCCCAGTTCTCTATGCATAAATACATTTTTAAAAAAAAATGCACAGGTAAAACCTGGAAACAACCCAAATGCCCAAAACTAGATGATTGGATCAAGATGTGGTACATACACACAATGGAATACTACTATACTACTCGGCAATCAAAAAAGATAAACTCATGCCATTCACAGCAACATGGATGGAGCTAGAGGGAATCATGCTCAGTGCAGTGAATAATTCAGAAGGAAAAAGAAAAATATCAAATGGTTTCACTTACAGGAGGAATATAAGAGAACCAAGCAGGCATGAGGGGGAAAGTATACTGTTATTACAATACAAAACATAACACAACAAAACAAAAACAGTTATAAACCAGAGATATCCTACAGGTGAGGGGGGAGGGGTCGGGAGGAGAGAGGGAGAAATATAGGGGACTATGGTGATGGTGGGCAAAGTGGGGGGGGAAGTAAACATTGTTTTAAAATGAACAATAATGTTGGCCCTCCCTGGTGGCGCAGTGGGTTAAAGCACAGCACTAAGAAGCTAAAGCCACTTCCTCATGAGTTCAATTCCCACCTGCCCTGGAGGTGACCACATGGCGTGGCAGACCTCTCCTGACCCGCCCGCTGCTCCCCTCAGCAGTGTAGATCTGCCTGTTCTGCTCCCCACTCTGTCTCTGGTGAAGCCTCTCACCACCCCTG